GGAAAATAAGGATCAGTAAAGCTCTGAAGAATGCCACGCGGTCTCCTGAGTGTTTACTGAAGCCATTTAATGTTTAGCTCGCTGCATAAGCTGGATAGAGACGTTCAGCTGAGGGCAGAAGACCTCTAATAATTCTCACAGCACACACAAGAAATTGAAAAATAAAACACACCAGCATTTATTGCTGATGAGAGGTTACTACTGAAAGTAACATGTTAGTCTTAAGTATATACAATGCACTCAATATATTTATATATATATACACATCCTAAAAACAAAACCTGTGTATTAACCTGAACTTCACCTTTTACCAGCTAGTCCAACTTCAGTTACCCTGCAAACGCCACTGCTGTTTAGTTTTCTGTCTTCATTTATGTCGGAAGTGGTAGCAGAGCTGTACGTTTTAATTAGTTTCAAAAATCTCTCAGTCAGAACATGGTATGTCATGTTTAGGTGGAAACTAGCGAGCTAACTTCCTGTTAACTCCTAACTCCATTAAATTTAATAAATTCTGTTTTCATGGATGCCTGGATGTTAAACTTAATTGTTACACCCAATAAAGCAGCAACGCTGATCATTTTATTAAAGATGGGAGAATTTAGACCGTTTTAACTCTCAGTGTTCGTTTGACTTTGGGACCTGAAGGGGACAGAGTTTAGGACCCAGATTACTCCACGAAGCTCCTCACTACGGCAGCCGTAATGCTCTGACATCAAAACATTTTTTAACAGATTTCTGCACGCCAAAATCGGTTCGAGGTCAGTAAGCACAACCAGAATTCATACATAAGGCACACTCAATATTTGAGAAAATTAAAGGATTTTAAGTGTGCCTTATAGTGTGGAGAGTACGTTATATAGAAGAAAAGAATACATCGTGATATATATCGTTACCACACGTGCTTCAAATTATATTGCGATATGAATTTTAGGCAATATCACCCAGCCCTACAATGAACTATAAAAACTTCCTTTTACCAATGATTTTGTATACCATTGCACATCCTGAAATGAGTAGTTTGTAACTGATGCAGAGTAGCATTTATAAATGATTAATCAATGAGTTTTAGAACATGAAAACATAATCAATTAGCTTATTCATCAAGAATAAAGTGTTTAAAGCAGTGCTTGAAAACTATTAACTGATTATGAGAAATACTTTGTTGATGCTGTAGAGAGAGTTAAGTAACCATTAACTAATGCTTAACAGATGATTAACTAATGCTTAATAGTGTGCACTTATTATAAAGTGTTACCCAAATTGGAAAGCTTTATTACATCGAGTTTGCATACATGGCGTGTCATGGGTATGTTTCTAACATGAAATGTTCACTGAGAAAACTAAACTAACAAAACAATAAATATCAGTTACCAGTACTATGCTGAGGAGGAGGCGCAGAAAATAAACTGGGCAAAGCTAAAAGACCGAGGCACAGTGGAGCACTGTGATGCGTTACATCAAGACAACACGAGCGTCGTGATGGTTAAAGTAACCGAGCGCTGTGCGAGGACCATCAGAAGAAACGTCTTTGTCTCTGCGTATTAACAGAACATTTGTTCCACATCTGTGGTGCTCTGCTGCTGTTGCACTTTAAGCAAACATAAATGATCAGGTGCCTTAATTAGATATGCCTCAAAGAAAAATCATAAAAGGCCTTAAAACACTAAGCGTGGGAATTCTGTATAAAACAAATATTAAAAACAGAGGATGTGTGAGTTTACAGGGTCTGACGCTAACATGTAAGACACTGAAATAAAGCAGTATCGAACCTCGTTTACAGACTAACCTTCGCTGTATCGCTGCTGTCGTTATGTAAACTTCCTGTTTTTATTTAAGTCTTCTCCCTCTAAAGGCACAAACGGGTCATTTTAATGGTTTTCTTTGTTATTCTTTGGTTGTGTTTATTTCAACTACAAACCTCAGTACAAATCTTTGGTAAAGGTTAGAAATCATAAAGATGCTTTCCCACATATAAACCGTTTTCCTCTCCTCTCCAATCTCCTCTGATTGGCTGTTACCTGTGCTGTACTTTTAGCATGAATCAGTAACTTCTCACTTGTTACATAAAAGACACACGCACTGCAACTTACACATCAACATTAACACAGTTTTGTGTAGCTAATCTACTTTTCTGATGGCTCGGACACAAACGAAACTCTGCAGCTGTAGTTCATCTCTCGTTAGTTCAATCATGGAGGGAATCGTGATGGTATCAGTGAGGAAGTAAACGTCACATGTAACACTGCTGCTGTTACAGTTTCTTTGCCCGCTCGGCTGTCAGAAAAGACACACTGTGATATTTTCAAAGACAATACATGGGCGTCACAATGACTTACATTCAAAGTGTTGTGGAGACATTTGCTTGTGTCTCCCCCTAGCACAGCTGTAGTCTACCCTCTAAATGATCCTTCCTTTTCTAATACATTCATTAGACATGATCACCCTGCCAGCCTTCCAGTACCAGGGTAAAAAGTGCAATACAACAACACTTCAACCGTAATTAGACTCTGCAGAGTTGCTGTCAATGAGCGAACGTCTCTTTGCTCCATTTTTAGATATTAATTTTATTTTTTTGTGCCATCTGAGGCAACTGTAGGTCATCGAGAGCTTTCAAGGTCAAATTTAATGATATTTAGCACTGATCAACAGTTGATGAATACTGAACATTGCGCCCATCTCTTTCCAGTACCTCTGCTTTAGCAGTACCTATACTGAGAAACAGTTTGACATGAGTAGAATGACGTGTTTGAAAGCCATAGCAACACATTGGTGAGATACAATACACATTAAAGTCCAGGAAAGGAGCTGCACTGGTAATATAATATATTCTTTACTCGAGGGGAGAAAAGGTTACAGACTGAACGAGCACTCTGAAAATTTAAAAAAAAAACGTGTTACATGTACTATTCATGACAAGAAGCTGGAGTAAGTTTTCTATTAATGAAGACGGACGAGTCCAGCTTGAAAAGCAAGAAGGGTCGTGGACAGGAGTTCTGCAAGGCATAGTGTGCGTAACTCTGGGCTTAGCTGCCCTGCGTCATGTTCTGCATGTGTTTGGCAATGTCATACACGTAGGTGATGTCCGGCCTCTTCTCCGGGTCCGGGTTGATGCACCTATCTACCAATTTCCTCAGCTGGTGGCGCAGATGGGACAAAAAGAAGAGAAACATTGTCAGAGATGCAGAGATGCAGTGAAACAAGATCACACTGGAATTTAGAAGAGCAGCTCTAGAGAAACCTAACAGTTGCTAACAGCGCCCTCTAGGTGACCTCTCCCGTCATAGCAACAACAATAGAGCAACAGGTAAGCCGACTGAGACGGAGGCGCAAGGCTGGGGTAGCACGCTAATCATTTATTGGTCTGCTGAATCCGCTTTTACCTGAGCACACCCCCCATATGCACGCACGCATGCATGCACACACACGCATGCACACACACACACACGCATGCACACGCACACACGCATGCACACGCACACAGCTGCCATCCGGAGACAGCGCTTCCACTTGAAGCGGAGCGCGGTGGCTGATTGGAGCAGATGGACAGGCTCGCAGGCAGAACAGCCACTGCATCATTTAAAAAAAGATAATAAAAGACGAGGAAAGAAAGGGGAAAAAACATCTACATGAGGTCGCTATGGTAACCGTCTGCTGACTTCCTGGCCGCTGTTGCGTGGCGCGGGCTCAGGCGAGTTTTGTGTATAGGCACACGAGTGTGTGTGTGAGCGAGAAAGTGAGGCAAAGATGCAAATTCAGACAGTCTGAGAATTAGTCGCACAGAATGGAGATGGGGAGGGCGCCGAGATGCAAATATGTAAAATATTCATGTGCGTGTGGGGGGTGGCGGAGCTGGTGAAGGGAGGCGTGTGTGTGGTGGGGGGAGCATAGATGGAGATGGTTAAATGACACAACAAAGATGAGCAGCTGACAGTTTGCTGCTGATCCTTCAGGAGCATTGTTTACATCCAGACAGGCGCTGCAGGCACCCCCCTCATCTCCATCTCTCCATCGCCCTGTCTCTCGCTCCATCATTCCCTCTCTCCTGCGCTTTGTCTTCCTTTCTCCTGGATGGGGGTGACATGTGGGGCAACGCAGAGGCTCAGCGTGGCGCTCGTGTGTGTGGAAAGAGCTCATGTAACAAATATACACTTGCAAGAACTAAACCACTCACACACACACAGAGCAACCACAGAGGCTTAAAACACCTCACAATTAGCCTTTATCAGGCTAATGAGGTAAATACCAGAGTAAAACAAAAGCCTCTCTCTGCAGGGTAAACGAGCTCACTGGAGACACGAACAGCCATTTAAAATGAGCCACTGCAGACACACCGGCTACAGATCGGAGGCACTACAGGTAAAAACCACATCAGCGTGCTTTAAAGTCATACCTGACCATGATGGTTCATACTGGGTTTATTAAATATATCTGAACTGGAAACTCAAACCTGAACCACAAGGTTAGCTGTGAGGCGATGCCATTTTGCAGTATTTTTAATAGCACCAGGCCTCAAACATGATAAAAAATGGCCCTAAAAAAATGCACCCTCTAAAGGCCCTAGGGACCAAAAATGGTCCCGCCCCAAAAAGTGCAATAAAAAGATTATATATTCATATTTTTTTCCACTTTAAATTGGTTAGTCTTTTAAAACTACTTCTCCCTGAAATATTCATATAAAGTTTTAATTATATTTTCGTTGTTTTAACCCTTTAAATCCCAGTTTTATTGCATGAGCGCACTGTTTTTATTAGCCCCAAAAAACAATGAGGTGATGAGGGGAGATCCTCGCTGTCAAAATGCAGCGTGCCATCGCTAAAATGCCTACCCCCGTGCTAAGGCTTATTCTTATAACCTCTGCTGGAGTGCACCTGCATAAACAAGCTGAGCTTGAAGAAAAAATAAAGTCTGATTTGTTTTTTGTTCTTGCTTTTATGTTAGATTTGTTTGTATTGCAGTGTGGACTTCAGAGAGAAAAAGACTTCTGACTTCAGACACAGAAATACTCTTTATAAAGTTAGAAAAAGACACAGACATATTTGTTTTTTCTTTTTTTAGGCAAAAATACCTTTATTTTTTTTAAAAAAAAGGCACACCTGCAATTATCCAGCATTAAAAGTGACACATAAGCCATTGCAAAAAGGGTGAAAAGTGATGCATGCTTTAAATGTGATACAATGGCGCCACCTACTGGTCAAATAAAAAAAATTATAAATTTAAGCCCCCTACTCCCCAGAAAAATCCTTAAGTCCAGAATTGCATTTGTTTATGTTATTATAAATTTGGGGTAAAAAAATAGCGTTTTCTAATGGTTTTGTCATGGTCCGGAGTCTGCGACTCCGTGTTTATGTTTAGTTTATTAGTATTCTGTGGTTTTGGTTGCCTTGGGTGTTTGTACTCTTCTGTTTCATGGTTCATGTTCCTATGTTCTGTGTCCCCCAGTCTGTGTTAAGTTGGTGGGTTATGTCATTGCGTGTATGTGTTTCCTGTTTTATTGTGAAGGTCTGCGTCTTATGTGAGTATTGCTAATCAGCAATAAGGTGATCTTTAACCGCAGGCTGGCTGCATTACGTTTCTGCGCACGGATCAGTCTTCGCAGAATTACGGCAGACGATATAACGTTGACTAAGGGAAACGTGACACTCTGGCCCATTTAGCTTCACCCCACTGTTGAGCGCGGCCAGATGCTTTTGATACGCGCGGCTAAAATCGTATCCAGCCTTCTGATCACAGTCCTGTGCTGCAGCTCAGGCAGACGGGTGGATTTTACTGACATATAAATATAATTTAAGTGTTTGATATAAGTAAAGGAAAGTGGCATGGAGAGAAAGAGACAGGGATTTGTATTAAAGACTATGGCGGGTGCTTTAAAAACACTGAACAAGTCTATATTTACACTGTTCCTGAGAAGTACAAGGCAGCTGATACGAGTACTTACCTCCTCTGAATACTGATCTGAGGGAAGAGGGGGGTAGTCACACTGTTCTATTTTCTTACAAAGTGAGTAGAGGTTCATCTTATCCCCATAGAACGGATTCTGTGAGGCTGCCATCTGAAGCACAGACATAAGAACACGAGACAGAAAGTGGGAAAAAGACACGAGCAGTCAGTGAGTGAAGTTAAAACGGGAAGTAAAACACCCAATCAAGCGCTCAACAGGTGGCAGGCAGACGGCTCTGCACCCTGTGCTAACAGTAGAGTCTGCAGCTCTGCTACTGACGTGCATCCTATTGATTATTATGGGGAT